CCGCCTACCTTCGCGCTTCATGCCCATGGCCAGGCACTTCTGGTAGCGGCAGTACTGGCAGCGGTTGCGCTGGCGCTTGTCGATCAGGCAGTCCTTGTTGTCCCGGCAGGTGTAGGTCAGGTCCTTGCGCACCGTGCGCTTGAAGAAGCCCTTGCAACCCTCGCAGCTGTACACGCCGTAGTGCTTGCCTGCGGGCGGGCGGCGGGTGAGCGTCCCGTGCCCGCCACCGGCCCTGGGTCCCCGCACCCCGCCCGCCTGCTCCGTCTGCCGGGTGACGACTGGGTCCTGCAGGCTCCCGCCCTCCCCGCGTCTGAGCTGGCGGCCCCAGGAGGGCACGGCGGTCCTTCCTGGGGGCCGCAGGGATCGGAGGTTGATGCGCGGGGACCTCTGCCCGCACCCCCTCTGCCGTCGCTGCCGTGAGCTGCTCCTCCCCACAAGCCCCCGGCCCACCTGCCCACTCTGCTCGGCACCGCTGACGGCCCCCTGGCCTGAAGACACGAGACGGGACCCTGTGAAAGTGTCCGAGCACCGCCTTGTGGGCTGGCCAGGCTCCTGCCCCACCCCACCCCCCCACCAACAGGGCCCTGCAGCCAGCAGCCTACCTGAGGAGCGGTCCCCGCAGATGGCACAGATGTGCTTGGTGAAGGACGCCATGTTCCCTGAGGGGTGGGCGGGGACTTTGAGGACACCATTGAGGCCCAGCGGGGGCTTGATGTCCTCACTGCTGCTGACGGGGTTCATGGGCGAGCTGAGCTGAGGAGGGGGACACGGAGCTCAGCCCTGGCAGGGGCCGGCACCCCCCAACAGCCCTGAAGCGAGGAAGGTACTGCTGCACCCCCACTTTACAGAAAGAGGGCCTGAGGCTCAGAGAGGCTCCACCCACTCCAGGTCCACAGCTGGGAGCAGCAAGACTGAGGCCCTTGAGCACCGGCGGGGTGCCTGGCCCCCGCTGGCTCAGCCTGGCTGGCAGGGACTCCCGCGACCCACCCCAGGCCTCCAGGGAGGACCCCAGTGGCCCCCCTGCCCCCGCCCACCGAGGCGAGAATCCCCGCCCATCACTGGGCGTCCCCTTGACAGCACAGTGTGAGCACCATGACCCTCCGGTGCAGCAGGTGCTTTGGTGACCCACAACCCACAGATGGGCACTTGGGTCTGGTCACAGCAAGGCCGGAGGAGAGCTGGGCCCCCCAAGAGGTGCGACTGCCCAGGCCTCAGGGGCAGGGTGGGGTCTCTGATCCCGTGACCCGAGGGCAGAGGACGGAGACGCCCCTGGAACACCATCCTGTCCCCACAGCCCTGGGCCCTGCCCGCGGCAGCCTGTCGCCGCACCAGAGGGGGCGTGGGAAACATGCCAGTCGCCCTGGCAACAGCGGCCGCGGCCACGATGACACAGCAGCTCTAGTTCCGCTGCGTCCGCCCCAGCTCTCCCGCCAGTGCCCAGGGCCCAGAGGAGCTTCCCGCGAGCCAGCCTGGCTCCCCAGGCGCCAGGGCCCTGGCTGCGCAGCCCCCCAGCACCCCACTTCTGCAAAGCCCTGACAAAGGCGGAAACTGGGTCACGCAGATGTCTCTGGGGATGGGCAGCAGCCGCCTCGCTGCCCCCTGGTAGCCCTGGGCCCCTCCTGCACACAGGAACCTCAACCCCTCCTTCCCCACGGCCCCCAGCTCCCACCCCCCTTTCCCACGGGACAGGAAGAGCTCGGTGCTCCAAGCACGCACAGCAGCCTCCCGGTCCTGGCCACTCCAGGCCCCTCCTCTACCCCGCTGGGCCGGGGGATCCTGCGGGGATGGTTAACCCCCTCGGGACTCAGGGAGCCGCTGGGAGGCCGGAAGGCCAGCTCCAACTGCCCTGACAGGCGTCGGAGCGTTTCCCGGACGAGCGAGCAGACCGAGAAGGAAACCCCGCCGGGGCCGGGTGCCGCTGTCCAGTGTCCAGTGTCCAGTCTCCCGGCTGCAGAAGCACAGGCTCCGGGGGCCACTGGCCGAGTGCACACGGCTGCTAAGTGGCAGAGCAGGGTGTGAGCTCCAGCCTGAGTCAGCAGGGGATGATGCCCCTGGAGACCCCGCGTGCTACAGACGGGGACCCGAGGCCCCGAGAGGACGGGCTGGCCCAGAGCCCCACGGCGTCCCCGTCCTCGTGCCCTGCAGAGGGGAGGAGGGCGAGCCGGAGGTGCGAGCTGCTCCTCACGTTCCGCCTCCCGCCCACTGTCCTCCGGGGAAGCCGGCCCTCCCGCGGAGCCCGCGGTCCCTCGTGGGCGGCACCGGAGGCCACACGCGCCTGGCCCGAGGACTCGCGGGCAGTGCTGACCGCCCCGCGAGGGCACAGCTGCCAGCGCCACGTTCACGGGGACCTCGGGGGCAGACGCCACCGGCCAGGCCTGGGATGCCGGAAGCAGGCATCCCGGGCAGAGGGGCCGCCCGCCCGCACACTTGGAGGCACAGAAACCAAAGAACTGGGTAGCGAAGGGCAAGAAACTGGTGGAGCAGAGGTGAGGGACCAGTGGCAGGTCCGAGGGGCCCAGCTGTCAGGAGCCACTGAGGACCTGCGAGAGGAGGCCTGTCCCTGGCCGCAGACTTCCCTGCGGGCACCAGGCACACGGCCGAGGAGAGGGACACACACGCTTCCTCTTCCTGTGGTTGTCGGGACCACACCACTGGGGCGGGGGGAGCAGGGGCCACCTGCCCTGTCTCCTAGCTCCCACGTGCAGGCCCCAAGTACACTGAGGCAGGACCGCGGCACCGGAAGGCTGGCTAGGGCCCCTCCAGCGAGGCAGTGGCAGGTAGGACCCAGGGAGAGGCTCGTCGCAGTCAGTGCCGTGGCCAGGCTGGATCCCGGGCCGTGGGCCACGCACCCTGCCGTCCGGGCTCCGGCTTCCCCTGGGCACAGCAACGAGCCGGAGCTGCAGGGGACACTGCCGCGAGGGAGACCGATGGAGACCGGGCCGCGCTCTCCGCAGGCCCTGGGCCACTTGCTCCGTTTCTCCTCAGCTGGGGGACAGTCCCCACGTGGCCGCGAGGGCAAGGCTGCCCGGGGGCCAGCGGGTCCTTCCACCCCCCGCCCAGCTGCAAGCTGCCGAGCCTTGGGCCGGGCTCACAGCCCTGGAGCGGAGCAGGAGCAGCCCCTGCGGCCTCGTTCACACGCGCAGCCCCTACCTGCGGGAGATGCCGCTATCCCACACGCCGCCCCGTCTCCTAGGAGACCTGGGCACCCACAGCCCCCCCCAGAGCCCGAGGACACCGCGGTGTGGCCAGGGTGGGGGCCCCAGCCCATTTCCCCTTTCGGATCCTTGGTGCTTATTTCGGTTCCCACCAACCTACGGGGCTTTACTGAAACGAACACCCGCCCGGCCAACGCCCTGCCAGGTCTCCCGCCTGCTCCCGCTGTCCCGCTCCCCAGGCCACCACGCCCTTCCTTCCCGAGCCCGAGCCCCGGGAAGGTCCCCCACCACAGGCCCGCACGGGGCAGGCCCTCACCCACACCAGACCTGGGGTGGGAGGCCCCAAGCCACCGTGCACCAAGAGCTGGCCCCTGGCCTCGCCGGCCTCCACCTGCCCAGCAAGGCAGGGGCAAAGCCTGTGAAGTGCACCTGGCCTCATGTGGCTGTCCACTCCAGGAGTCCTCATGGCCACGGTGCCCACGGCCAGGAGCAGGCAGGGCCGGCCACCCCACTGGGCCAGGCAGGCCCTGCACTAGGGAGGCTTTGCTAGGCTGGCAAGGCCCAGACACCAAGGTGCCCACACGTGTCGGGCGCTGTGGGGGGAACGTCCCCAGGCCCTGCGGGATGGAGCCCCAGACCAGGGGGACTCGGGGCAGCCTGGGCCCCGGTGCCTGCGGTCTGTCCTGGCTCGG